GCGTCTGGTTCCGCGACCGGAAAGGAGAAGCCGCGATGGAAGATGAGGATGAAGATGAAGAAAGTATGCTGGAATCTATTCATCAGACCATCTGTTTTACGAAAATATGTTGAGAGCTTGTATGTTAAATTGAAGGAAGGTCTGGAAGAAGACGACGATAGAGACGCTACATCAAGAAATGAATTAAAAACAATATCCTTTACGACAAGTGGAGTAAAAAGTGGCGAAATCTGATATAACGTTGGCAAAACTTTATCATCGGCATGCCGCCTTTCTCGAAATGGAGTAGGACTCTTGACATAAGCGCGGTGGAGGCATTTTTTAAATTTAATAGAGATTGTGTGTCACAGGTTATTATCTATCACAAGTTATCGATCGTCATTATTTACTGTCTTTTTTGAGAGATTACAACTTGTGCTGATTTACACTTAACAGTCAGGTATGAGTTGGGTTAAGGAGAAGTGCAGCCACAAGTGGAACTCGCACTGGACAGCACTGACGCTAATCTAGCCCATTGTGGCATGACCACACAAGAATACTATCCCTGTGCTTCACAGACCAACGCCTCGCTGTCCGTTTCTCGAGTGGTAGCAGCGAAGCAACGTGAGTTAAATTCGATGCTCAAGGCATTAACAGTCAAAACAAATTCTGCGCTTTCTCTTACTTCAACCTGGAGTCTCCAGAGTTCGACGCCAGGCTTTTTGACAATGCTACAGCCCATGAATTCAGAAACATTACTGGGGCTCGCGATGCATCAAAGATAGTCTCTTGCTAGGTAAATAACGAACGATTCTCCAACGCCAGATTTCATGGCGTATTGCACCGCTCTTGCTCCAAACAGCACTTGCACCCCTGCAATAAACGGTGAAATCTGGTCTTAGAGGAGTTAATCGCGATTTGACACACATGGGCGTACGAACAGCTTATGGTGTCTTGTTGTGAGAATCAGTGACAAAATTAAGTATAGTCCTGTTTCTTGTACAATATAAAGACGACGCTGGAAGACAGACTTACTTTATCGAGAAAGTAAGCTACTGTAACAAACTCTGGGTAAAGTAAGGCAGACAATGAGCAAGGATAATTGAAAGGCCATAGTTTTTAAACCAGAGATCACGACCATTATTTAAAGAATGAACCGAATCGGACACGAGCAAACAACGAAAAATACCCAAGAGAAGAAAAGACCGTACCGGCTCCGGCATGTCGAAGATTACGCGAAGTCGTGAGTCCATAAGCTGATTGGATGTAGCAGTTTTCCACTAAAAGTTAAAGTCACGTAACAAACTAAGAAAGATGAAAGAGGTCGGAGACGACGTCGCGCTTTGGGAGCGTGTCGCGCGTCCCGTTCTTACGAATTCGTCTAAAGATACGATTTCCGGAGGCACGAAAGCCGCCTGTACCATAAACTTGTGTTTGTGCGCCAACTTATCCTCCGATACGTAGTCGAAAGGTTGCAACATGACTGGAAACAAGATAACATGCAGGATTATACTTCAGACGCATCCGCAGACGCGCTAACTCACCGGCAACTGTGACAGTGGAATGAGCCGCAATCCTTCCCGAATTCGGGCGAACGCAATACTGCTTTGGCGCTGTCGTCTTCACTTTGAAAGCCACCTCACGATCGGTCAAGTTGGTCAGTGTCAAGTTGTTCGTAACGACATCGGTAAACGGACCTGGAAAAGGAGCACTATTGTTGACGACAGAAGAAAGCCAGATTTATGTCAATAGCACAAAACACTTCGTCAGTCACTTCTTCAGCAGGAATCAACAGACAGAGTACAATCGAAGGGCTAACGATCAAAAACTGAATAAGCTATGAATGCAGTCACGGAAGCTGCCGCCCCGCGGCAAACACCGAACACAGAAATACAACTTTCAGGCAATCGATTATGAATAATTTTTTTGCGGAGGCAGAGAAGACTACAGTCAGATTAGTTCGCCTGCGGTTCTGCGAACATCATAATTTTAAGCACAGTAGCCCCTGGCGAAGAGCGTAAACGACGATGACACACACAAGGTTTGTTACGAAGCATCGTGCAATCAAATTTATAGTCTATTACAACGATTCAAACATGATGGCGGATCAACACCCCAAATGCTTTTACAAGTTCCTCACAGTAGTAAAAACTGTTAAAAGACGAAAATAAGATTAGTCACCAAGAGCAAACGTTACTTAAGCAAATGCGTCCCGACGACCCCAAGAAAAATCCAGATGATTCAGATAAAACAACTGTCATACCACAATAAAAAAATGGTAAGAGAAACTGGTACATCCACCGTAAATCACCAGAACATCAATCTACTAAGTAACTTAAGCATAGTGTTAACAATCATAACATGAAAACGGCTGAAGAAATTGCAACGGATGAACAAGTTGGAATTCGTACCAGAAGACCTGGTAATACACTGAAGGATACGGTGAAAGACGATGTGCAATAAAACGACTGATTGGGGATGTCAGACAAGAAAGGAAAAGATGGGAGAAGACCCGGAATCACCCCTGGCAAATCGACTATGATGGACTACGATGAGGAAATGTTTGCAGCGCACCAATCTATCAGTCGTCCTATGGCTATAAAGAAAATAAAGAAAATTAAGTACTCTTAGACCGCATCCGCCGCAGGTTTTGCAAAATATTATAGAAAACTCAAGTAAGATAATGTCTAATGACCAAGCAACGGCTTTTCTTACGTCATCGCACTTAACTTTTGCGCCAGAGAACAAATACAGGAGACAGGAATCATAAAAACTTGAAGCAGAGTAACAGATGCTTAAAAAATTTCTTATACAACGCACATTTCAGAAATAGAGTTTGTGAAGTGGTCAAATTGGAAACGCCCCGAACTCCGGTAAATACTGGTCCTCAGCCATCTATTTCCGTGATAATTAATGAAAGTTATCAAAATCAGGGAATACAAGGCAGTGCAAAGACTGTCACAAATATCGAAACCGTTACGTGAAAAGACTCAGCAAAGTTGCCCTGGTTCAATCATTTAAATGATTTTCACAGATTATTAATTTTCTGTTAATACATCGACAAAACATAGTAACAAAGAAGCTTGCCGCTGCTTGTAGAATGAAGACCAATTAAGAAAATCTTTGTAAGGATGCCCATGGCTTCAATAAGAACCATTTTCCTGAAATAGGTTCATCATTTAGTTTCACAACTAAGCAAGGGTGAGTTCCATGTCCTGATGTAGACGAAGCGAACGTCGATGTATTGTCAGCTTTAGGAAAAAGTTGGTAAAAAGAGCTTGGAAGATTCATTTAATGCAGTGTCTCTTCTCAGTCGATAAAAAACAATGGAACGCTAAAAGTCACTTCTGTGGTTTGTCGCCAACATTCAACTGGTAACCTCATGGTAAGCAATTGTAATCAGACGAAAGCTCAAAGTAAAAAGCTGCAA